TTGACTTTATTAGGTTTTAAAATCGGATCTGATCCACGCATCTTCTTCCTCGAATAAGATTTTAGCAATACACGAATAGGGTTACTATTTACGACCGCGTCTATATTTATGACCGGTATGGGCAAAGCTACAATTTGATCCCTCGTCTACCAAAGTTGAACTGAAATAAATTACGTCGGTAAGACATTTTTTTGCAATAATTATAAAAGTGATTATAAAAGTATGTCTAGATGTGGGCACAAGCGTAATAATTCTATTTATTTTAAGTTAGGGGACTTTGTGAAAGTTGGTTTTTCTGCGAGTTGGTTACATTTATGTACCCAATTATAAAAACTGTATGCATATTCGGGGAAAATAAAACAAGAAATAACAGTAGCTAAAGTCCACTTCCAAGTAAGTATAGAACAAAGAAATAAGGATAAAGTAAATGGTGCTTGCTTCGTTGTTTGTAATTAAACGTCTGTTTTTAGAAACGAATGTATTAGGTTCTTGAATTGTTTTCCAAATTTACATGTACAATTTAACAATTTTAAAAACCTGAATTTAAATTTTACTTTTTAATTTTCAAGATCCATCACTAGTTTAAGAAAATCGTTGATTTCATAAGTTGTAAAATATGATTGAAAAACCACCGAATGAGATTTTTAAAAAAGAAAATATTTTGATAGGGACTTCACTAATCAGTAGGTTACGTGAGGAGCGGATTGATTTCAACCAATTTGAACAATCTTTTTAAATTAAAACATGATCAAAACACGTTTTACTCTTTCTATCAGGTTTTATTACATTATTTAAGCAAGAGTTTAATAATAAAAATAAGGTTACTTTACATATTTAAGGACTGGACTGAAAATGAGTGTAGTATTATGACAATCCACGCTAAAATTATTCAGCTAGTGAAAGTTAGAAAAATCGATATTTCTGAAAAAATATATCATTAATAAATTATATTTAAGAATGAAACAAAGTAATTAAGTAAATTTGAAAAATGTTAGGACAATTAAACAAAAGAATGAAAGATCTCTTTATTGCTTAATACTTTCCTAATAATATAAAATAATTCCTACAATATTGGATAAATGACAGTCAAAATAACGAAATATTTTCATTTAATAATTTAAAATTTTTACTAGAATTGTGAACAAAGAGTATAATGTTTAGTTATAAAGTATAAAGTTTTGTAAATATTTTTAAAACTGTACTATTGAATAAGAATGGTATTAACGCAAGATTAATATCTTTTGTTTTTCAATTTATTTATTCGTTAACACAAATGCTTGTCTTTTAAATAATGTTTAATAGGAAAAATTAATGATCGAGACGTACCAAAAATATTTTATTAGTTTTTATAGAATTACCTACAAATTCAGCTGCAATGTTAGCCATATTTCCATCGGAATCAGATTATTTCAGTTCATCTTTCTTGAAACTTATAGTTTCTTACAAATTAATCAGCTCAAAATCACTTCTTATACTTAACAGTGGTTTTCCTTTGGTACGATCTGTCCACCCATAGATTTAATGGTTGTTTTAACCTCTGACATTATTAATCTAAAAATACAGCATGTGCTTTAAAAGGCAATTCAAAACAATGACCTTTTTACATTTTTATCCCTTAACGAGTTTGGTAACCACGGCTGATAACCAAGTTCCTTCAAATGGCAAACCTCTTTAGCCTTGATAACCGAGCCTCTTCTTCTCTCTGAAGTAGACTGAAGATTATTTTCTAATAATACTTATTCTTCTAACATTACCATTCTAATGACATGAGAGAAAAATGAAATTTTTTCCGATTCATCTACGACATATTCGTTCTTTATTAGTATGTTTCATTTGCATTGTCATGAGAGGAAAACCTTAAAAAAATTCAACAAAGATATTTACAATAAAACATCATTTCTAACAAGATAGTACAATTTTATAATTTACCTTTGGTTCATTGATCTCAAATATCGAATAACAAAAAATCTAAATACAAAGGCCAACCGGTTCTATATACTTAACACTGTATTGTCAACACGGAAAACCGGCCAGTATATTATTACTATTGTAACCAATTTGCATTGCTGTTATTTGAATCTATAATTCTAAGTGGTAAAAATAATCGTTGAAAAGCACTTACCTGGGCACTAAACACTTATAAAATCCTTTCGTTTATTTATTTATTTTATTTCCACTCCAAAGCCCAGGCATGACAAAAAATCCATGAATGACAACATAAAATGGCCAAAGTGGGAGGCCTATGGTGAAGTCAACGCCCGTAAAATGGCAAGATCGACCTTAAAAATTGATGATGAAAAAAAATTTTAGGCTTGTGGAAAAATGTTGGTCATTTTTAAACAATTAATTGAATTGATCAATAATTACCATTAAATGACACAATATGTTTATATAAATGGAATAATGACCAACAGCAGAGACATTGATAATTGTAGTTACTAATTTGTTACCGGAAAAAGTATCGTCAAAGTTCGTTTAGCCTAAATGTATTCTCTAATTACAAATTAAACGGTCTTAGAATGAAAGAACTCATCCAACCAGCCAGGTGGCTTTTAAACAAAGATGTTAAAAAATAATCAGAATCCTAAAAAATATATAATAATTTAAGAAATGCAATAAATTGATAATAGAAGTTGTAAATAATATATGTTATTATGGTATATTACATAATTTGTATTTGGTTATTTTTATCAAGTTGACCTATTCCTTACAAACATCTGGCCATTTGGAATATAATTCAGGCAATGTAGTTAAAACAAAATCATAAAAATTTCTTTTCTTGTTCTTAAACATCTTTTTACTCAATAAGTCAAAATGTTATGTGAATTGACACAGAGTAGTTGAAAATTTGATATAATAATTGCGCAAATGCGTGAATAAAATTCAATAAGCATCACTTTCAATTTAATAGATCAATCTTTTGATAGCCACCTTTTTACATATTTTAATAAATTTTGTAAGAAAAGCTTAATATTGATCAACAACATAAATATTCTGTTAAATTAGAAATGCTTTACTGAGCTTTAAAGAGTTTTTTATATTCATTCATTATTGCGAAAGGATCAAAATAACTGAAAATCGGCAAAGATGGCGCTTAGAGGAGTTCAAAAAAGATGAAAGATCACAGCCAAGACATGTCTCTAAACCGAGAAATAGAAATAGAGAAATAGTCAAAGGAGGAGATTAAAGGAGGTCAAAAAGAATTTCTTAACAAAACGAGAAATAAAGAAAAAATGGTTAAAAAATAGCTATATTGAATTGGAGGGAAGGATCTCTGAGAAGCTCAAAAGGATCTTTCTAATAATACTTGAAAAAGATCAAAGGATACATAAATCTAACCCTAAGAGGCTAAAACTACTCAAAAAAGACATCCCAACTAATTATGAAGAGGAAAAGTCAAAATCTAAATTGGCTTATGATATGCTCATAAAGGTTTGGAAAATCCCTTTTAAAGAAAACATGAATTAATGAAAATGGATTTTAAAAAAACTTCCTATTGGCTGAGAAGGACCTTAGAATGGTTCGAAAAAGGTTTAGCAACAATACGTGAATTAAATGATAATAATTTTAAAAACTTAAAAATTTGCATGCAATAAAATTTGCATAGGATCTTAAAACACCTTTCATATTGGTTGAGAAGGAGCGTAGATAAGCTCAAAAAGGCCTTCCTAACAAAGCAAGTAGGGGAGAAAAATAAAAAAATTCCAAATTGGTCGAGGTGGAACTCAAAAATTTGAAAATCCCTTTCTAATAAAACGTGAAGAAGAACGGAAAGTACGTGATATAAATGAAATTATGTAAAGCACGAATCCCACATTCATCAGTACGAAATTGCCCTTACATAAATATAATTTTATTCCAACACTTTTTTGAACTTCATACTTTAATTTGAAATCAACATCAAAAGCTTGAACATACATGTCGTGTACATTTTTTTGTTTAATATGTCATTTATATCCGGTTTTAATAAACTGAGGGAAATCGTAGATTCAAAGTAAGTTTCTCAAAGTTTTGACGTCGCCGTATTCCATCATTTATCTATATAATTTATTATCGATAATAATCGATCATACTAACTTTTTAAACAAACTGCTGAAGCCGGCACCGTCTTTGTAACTGGTGGCATCAATGATTGATTATTAATAACTCCTTTGTTTGAATCTTGTTGAATATCATGCTTTTAAAAAATAAATAATCATGTTGATGGACGTACTGTTGTAAAAATTTAAACCTAAAATGTAATATAATTCATAGAGGTAGTGATAATTTCTTGATATAGTAGGGGGATGGTGCTGGCCATAGTATATAGATATAAAGTTTTTATATAGGCTATGTCATCTTGACCATATTATAAACCGTACCATAAAAAAATGATTGTTTAGCAGATTAAATTTGCAGTTGAAGATTAAACAGGTACGAACAAAACAAGGATTTTTTTTTTCTATTTGTTACTCTGCAATGGTCGTTTGCAGTATGGAATAAAATTTGTGCGTTCGAACATATACACTTGTGAAATTAATAAAAGATAACAATAAAAATGAGTTTTTTAAAATGTTTATATATTTGTAGTTGAAGAATTTGTTCAGGAGACCGGTATTTTACGACGGTTATGGGGTCAACGACCACTTGAACTTTAGAAAGGTAAATTCATAATTTTTTTAAGGAAAAAATAAATAAAAATTTGATTACAATGCTACGTCAGTTTATCGTTATATAAGTTCACTCCATCCGCCCAATAGGAAAAGAATGACTACTTGAAAACATGGCCGAATCCCGCCAGATGTTTACAAAAATATGCAGAACGGATCTTAGAGAGGGCTTAGCACTTCTTTTTGCCGATTTATCGTCCTACCTTCTAGAGGTTGGATCCAGATCTTCTTGTATTTGTTTGATTCAAACGGCGCCCACTAATATCCCTCCTCCCCTAAACCAGACGCTATTTATTTTTTGTAAAAAAAAAAAGTCACCGGTGGTGTATAAAACCAGGGGTGATCCTCCGGATTGGCAGAGTTAGACTGTAAGCGAACCAACCAACTATGTTGCTCTTGGTAAGTTTCCAACACACCTACTCCACAGGTTGCTTTGAATATTTTATTACATATTACTTTTAAGTAAAAAGCGCGGCAAAATACTATTATAATCTATGCACGTAATGAAACCTTATCTGCATTTCTGTATTATTAAATAATAACAGCTAGACGATGACTGGCAGTACATGATGATTAGTGTCAGGATAGAAAAAATTAAGAACTCTTTCAGGAAAATATTTGGTTGTAACTTGATTATTTTTTATATTTATTTAGAAATCGTGAGATGCGGTCTGGTGTGATGTAGGTTTCAGAAAAACATTTTGCATTGAATAAATTCACTTTTCCACATCCAAAATGTAATTGTAATATGTAAACAATGTTTGTAAATCCCAGGCCCTGAAGATGATCTCAATAAAGATCGAAACGTTGGCACGATAAAGAAAATGTTTTTCTGAAACCTACATCACACCAGACCGTATCTCACGATTTCTAAATAAATATCGATTTACGGTCACTAATCACCACACACATTATTTTTTATCATCATACTCTGTCTAGCCTAGTTGCTTCAATCTGTACGATTCATTTCGGCAATTCCTTGTCATCGGAAGTGGTCCTGTGAATATTTCTCATATATTATTAGCACCAAACCTATGAAGAATAATTATACAATGTTTAAACTTCTAAAATTGTATTTCTTTCTTGGTTAATGGCCTGAAACCATTATAATATTTCAGTAAGTAGATTGTCAAAGCACCACATACAAAGGTCATTTTAAAGAAGGGTACTCGTTATTTCTTTGAATATTTCAACATTCAACAAAGTAGAATAGAATATTTCATTGTATTTTAGCATTATATATATATGCATGCAAATTATATAAAAGGGATGCATCTTTTGTTTTCTCACATATTTTTACATAATTACAATACTTTATCCATGTCAAAAATAACTACAGTAGAATACCATATGTACAGTGCAACACAATTAACAATATATATAATTTTTAATTTAAAAAATAATTAATTATTAATTTTTATTTATTAAAATTATACAATTATATATTGATATAGATACTTAACAATAACATAGAACATATTATGGGCATATAAAGAACCTTTGGCAGATTGCATCATTCATCTAACACAAACGCTCTCAACTTCAATGTACCCAATATAAAATCAAATAAATCATTTATTTTTTCTTTATCCCAGCTTCCATTTAGTAGCCATATTAATTTTTCGTCACTATTGTACAGTTGTGGTGCATTCTTTAAACAATTCTGTAAATATTTTTTTCTTAACGACGAATATATTGGGCACTCCCATATTATGTGTGCCAAAGTTTCGTTGACTTTGAAATTGCAGATTGTGCATAATTGTGTGCAGTCAACATTCAACAAAGTATAAAAATTACTTTATACTTCTACATTTCAGAAATGTTTCTAAATTAAAATTTCATGTATTACATATTTACACAGTATTAGTGTTCACGACTAACACTTTTCGGTTGACGAAGATGATATCTCAGAAAAATATTTAAAAAAAAGCAAAATAGAAATATAAAACTTAAAAAAATATTTTAAAATATATTCTAGGATATTTGATACAAAATTACTTGAGTACTTGTGTGAATTAAACCAAATGGATGTATGCTGTCTATAATACCTTACTTTGTTTTTAAAACTCACCTAACCTAAAATTTCAACTTATTTAAATTAAAGAGACAAATAGTCCATTTTTTAATAACACAAACTTAATATTTACATATTAAGTTTTTGTGAATTTACCATAATTTTCCTCTAACTTTTTTAATGACTGAAACTATTTTAAACAAATGATAAATTAAGTAATATGTATTTCCTTTGATACGAAAAACTTAACAAATATTATATTTCCATTATCTTTGATAATGCTATAATTATTTTTAAAAATTTAACGTTGCCATGACACAATAGTTCATTTTTTGTTGTCATATGTGCGTCACAATATATACCTCAAAATGATAGTACCCATCATTATGTTAATTTTATTTCTTACAAGCATTTTTGACAATACGTTAAATTTTATCTAGAGTTGAAAACTATTGTAAATTTTCATGTTCATTAATTAAAAAAACACTTTTTTGCTCGTACCTGTGTGATGTATAAATTTTGTTGTTTTTTACTTATGTCTATGATGTTGTTTGATCGTATTGTACTATTGCTCTGGAGTGGTATTGAACGCTGATTGGACCGAATCGCCAGCCTCCGTAGGAGCACTTTTTGCCTGTTTGATCATATCCGATATTCTCCTTGTATGGCACGGCACGCCTTTTCTCGCTCTTAGTTTTTTAGTTTGATGCGTTCCGATTTCACGCCATTATCAGTGATCGGCCGTACAACGACAATAAGCGGAACGAGAGATGATAATGACCAGACAGCAAGAGACATAATGGCTCTATTCATCTAAGCCAGCTAGACTTTTTTTAAACCTAAATATTAGTATAAAAATGTTGAACTTCCCACACTTGTAATAAAAGACGTTCTGATTCATTACCAGCGACAGAAAAATTGCAGAAATATATATTTAAATTTATTTATTAAAACTGGTCTTATTAGACCAACCATTAATTTTTCAATGATGTACATATTTTATCAAATAAAATACCACCTCATCACTTATTTTTGCCGAGCATTTAAAGTTTGTGGTAGAATAGAAATATTCAGTCTAACTGTTTTGTATTTTTTAAAATATTCATATAGCATTTTTTTCAGGTTATTCTGGCAATTATTGGGGCAGTTGCCAGTGTGCCGGCCCCCATCGAATATATCAAGGAAACTATTCCGAAGAACATCCCAATCCAAAGCATTGGACCCATTGATACTAGCATTCCCATAGACAGGGCTAGAAGGGACATCCAAGAAATTATTCCTCAGTACATCCCAATCCAAAGCATTGTACCCATTGATACTAGCATTCCCATAGACAGGGCTAGAAGGGACATCCAAGAAATTATTCCTCAGCACATCCCAATCCAAAGCATTGGACCAATTGATGCCAACATTCCAATAAACAGGGGTAAGAGGGACATCCAAGAAATTATTCCTCAGCACATTCCAATTCAAAGCATCGGACCCATTGACGCCAGCATTCCCATTAACAGAGCCAGGAGGGACATCCAAGAAATTATTCCTCAGTACATCCCAATCCAAAGCATTGGACCAATTGATGCCAACATTCCCATAAACAGGGCTAAGAGGGACATCCAAGAAATTATTCCTCAGCACATCCCAATCCAAAGTATTGGACCAATTGATGCCAGCATTCCCATTAACAGGGCCAGGAGGGACATCCAAGAAATTATTCCTCAGCACATCCCAATCCAAAGCATTGGACCCATTGATGCTAGCATTCCTATAAACAGGGCTAGGAGGGACATCCAAGAAATTATTCCCCAGTACATCCCAATCCATAGCATTGGACCCATTGATGCCAACATTCCCATAAACAGGGCCAGGAGGGACATTCAAAAAATCATTCCTCAGTACATCCCGATCCAAAACATTGGACCAATTGAGTCTAATCTCTCAATCGGATCATAACAACCAGAATGAGCGAATCATTCACCATTAATCAGTCAGTTTTGACTGTGGTTAATTTTTTAATTGAAATAAAACGAAAACTTTTAAAACATTTGTATTTATTTATTTGAGTACCAGAACACTGAGTTAGAAGATGGAAGTTGAAATAGATCGATCATAAGAAGCGATCGTCACTTCTTAGTGTTATTTTTAAAATTCAACTTATCGTTAATTAAGTAAATATATATTTTAGTTAACGTCCACTGTTGTTTTGTATATTACAACGGAATCTTTAGACATTGTTCACCTCTTCTCATTTGTACAAATGGTAGTTTCGTTCGCGATTTATTTCTCATCGCCTCCCATCGATCCAAGATTTTCCCGTCATCGTTCATCGTCGTGGACGATTTCGGTTGCCATCTGAAATTGTACGAAGATTTCAAAAGCCAATGAGTGTGATATAAATAAAGTGAAATATTCCATGGGATGAACCGATAACTTCACCACAGGTATGGCCGTGAAATGGAAATTATCTGATTCGCCCAACGGGCAATACACATACTAAATCAGCTCTGGTATATGTTTTACCATGTAACAAGTAATATGTTTAAATGTTTAAGTTTAATAATTAAGTTATCCTCAGTTGAAACTTACTGTTTATAATTTTAAGTCAAATTTAAAAATTTTAACAAGCCGAAGAAGTTATAAATATAAATAAGTTTTAAAGTTTAATACTCGACAAAGTACAGACTTGTAAATGGTAAAGTTCACATTTTTGCGAATATATAAATCAATTTAAAATTACAATTTTTCTTAGGAAATTATTGAATTTAACGTTAAGTAATGTCTTTTTTATTAATTAAATGAAAGGGTGCTATAAAATTTAATACCTGGTTTACGTATTACTTATTCAATTATTAGCGAGAGCGAAGATGGTAAAGCAAATGTGTTAAAGCTTAGATAAAGAAAAAAAATGTTTTGGAAACTAAACATGTTAACGGCAATTGAAATAGAAACTAAATAAATCATAGTACTCTACACTAAATTTAGTACGTTCACAGCGGCATAGATCTAAAATATATTAAAACGATGTATCCAGCTATTAAATTACGATTCAATAGAATACAGTTTGGTAATGGTCAAGCTAAATTTAGTTGAACCAAAATTTATCCATAGTATTTAAATAACAGAATAGCCTGTAATACCACATTCAGAACTACCAATATGACTGAAGATTTTCAACAAATATAAAGCAGTAAGTCAAAAATTGTTTCTGTACAGTAAAATTCAACAAGAAAAATAAAGAAATAGTAGTTTCTCCTTATTTCGACAAAAAACTTTATTCAATGATCATACAGTTTAATCTATGTAATATAATCTAATTATCTACTTGACCAACAAAATAAAGTATGAAATAATAGTTTGTTGAAAATGTATTTAAAATAAAACGCTTTATAATACGATAATATTCAATCGATCGATTTTTTCTCGGCTCTGCTTTACACACTGAAATCATAATGATCAGCTTTGTTAAAACCTGTACAAATAAGCTAATAACCGTATTTATTATATAATGCTAACATAAAACCGACATTACTTTTGTATCAATCCAATTTTTTCCCACAGCTGTTTTCTAAACTTAACGCTGATTTCAAAAAGTGTATGTAAAAATTTGGTTGTGTCTTATTATTTTTCTCTTTTCGATGATACTATTGACTGCTTGTTATTGTGAATTCCCTTCTGTATTTTTTGCATTAAAGGTAAACTATTAAACTTATAATCATATTAAACCTCTCAGTATCTATTGCTAGCCAGTTTGAATAATGTTCCAAACCAGTCTGATAAAAATCAGTATTGATTTGTAAGATAAAAAGATGGAAAATAAGGATAATATTAAAAACTACCATACACATAGACATAATAGAAAAATTTTAAAGTGTGTGTATTATGACAGTGTACGTGTGTTTGGGATGATTACAATCATTTAAACAATGGCTTCTTACGTTTGCCTCGAAAACAAAGGACAGTTAAATCCGATAGTTTGCTGCTAATTGTAGGAGTAGTTGGTGTATGATTTTGTCTTTTTCATAGAAAAGGGGGATCACCGGAACCTTGCCATGCTAACGTAAGCCTACTTGAAGAATCAGAAATCCTGCAAAAGACGATTTCAATTTAGAACAAGTGCTACAAGGATAAACTATAAAATTCAATTTATAGTAAGTAGGAAATGTGTTAAAATTGTTTAAACTATTTGAAAATGAGAGTGGATAAATTACTAAATTGTATGCTGCTTTTTAGCTTTATATATTTCTCAATGTATAGTTTTTTGTTTAAAGTTCAGCATGACTTTTCAGACGGATACTAACAATAAGCCTAGAAAGATTTCTGGTACCATGGCAAGAATCCGTTAGTGTTTTAATTTTGATGGACAGCTAAGTTGATTCAAAAACCATTTTTGATACATCCCAGCGGATGGACTCGTCCTCACTCAACAATTTCCCTTATCTAATCTTAGGGGGTAATTAACACATCATCAGTACTCACAGATTTGAATTGAATAACGGCCTGTCTACAAACGCGTTACATCGCTGATTCGGTGTTGGCAGAAATGGAATATACGATGGATTGTGCTTCAACATTAGACGCTCAACGTTGATTTTCGGATGTTTTAAATTGTGCTGGACTAGTTTCATGTCCCTAAAAAAATACGCTGACTCTCCTTGGCCGGTTTTCTGTTCGCACAATGTGCTTGAACAATATTTGCCCTGCATCGAGCTGACGGTACCCATCCCTATAATAAGGATACATCGGTTCTCTCCTGACTAAATCGTAAATTTTACTGTAAATACTTACCTGTTTGGAATTTGTCTAGGCTAATGTAAATATTATACTGATGTGATTTAATTTTATGTAATTGTTATAATTATTTATTTTTTCTTGTCATATGAAGCGAAGACCTCATATGTTTTTTTACGGAAGAAGTTACCAAGTAAATAAAGTTGTGCGTTTAAAAGAAAACTGTTTGCGGGTGTACGAATTGTTGTGTGAATTGCTAAGAAAGAACCCTACGCTATATCTTCCAAGCTTATCATATTTTTCTAACGAGTTAGGGAAGAATTTTTTGGCTGGTTTGATCATTGGACAATGGGTGCGGATTATTGAAGAAACAGCAGTCTTGTTAATTATTAAATGGCTTAATAGTTAATTAAAGATAATGAAGTTAATTTGATAACCCGCACCATTTTCCAAAGAAAATTTGTTAAGGACACGCAATTTAATAATAAAAAACCAAGAAGAAGAAGTTTTTTGAAGAAGCTAAAAGGAAGCTTCCCTCATGTTCGCAAGAGTAACAAAAATACAATTTTTATGAAATCAAATATTCTGAGTCAGTTGTTTAAGCGTAGATTATATAAAATTGTATTAAAACGTAACTTCTACAACTTTGCTTTTGATGTGAAATTTATTTATTTTGTCTGAATTGACGAGAACTAAACTCTTACCTTTGAGGTCAATCAAATATCCGATGTTTTTCCTTTTTACGTTGCTTTTTTTTTACCCGATGGGTATCACATACAAATCTCTCTCTCTCTCTCTCTCTCTCTCTCTCTCTCTCTCTCTCTCTCTCCCTCTCCCTCCTTCCCTCTCTCTCTCTCTATCAATATATTTATCTATCTATCTGCCTATCTATCTATCTATCTCCAAACCTAGCTTCTTGTTATAATTATATTTNCCCTCCCTCCCTCCCTCCCTCCATTCCTCTCTTTCTCTCTAATAATTAATGACGGAATTTTTACTCTGTCTACTGTTTATTGAGCAGCATTTCGTATTGCTGTACGATTTGCAAATGGACTTTTGTCAGTTCATCGCCAAAAAGAATGTCTGGCTACGGTCAGTTACAAAGATTTTTCATAATTTTCTAATTTTATTTAATCTTTTTATGGACAGCTAGGACGATAAATTAATATGTTACAGCCCAATAGCATAAAATGTTTGTTTTAATGAAAATGTATAAAGTAGATAGTTTATTTTTAGCAAAAGAAAAGAATCTTAATTTAGTCTTGTTATTTAAAAAAATCTTATAAATATTTTGCTCTAAAAATCCTTTTTTGTTATAAATTTATAATTAAAAGCAATAAACAATAATGTACATTAAAAATGTTTTAAATAAAGAAACTAACGAACGATCTTTTTTCCCCCAAATACGTATATACATCTAAAACAAAGTTGGCTTAAAGTTAATTTATGAAACACAGCTAGATTAGGTCACAAAAGATTAGTCTTGAAAATTAGTAAAACGTTGGAAAAACTTAAAATGTTTTTATAATCCAGATGAAAAATATGTCCTGTCTAAAACCAACTTTAAAAAAATCAGAGACAAACTTACAAGAAAGCAAAAAATCTATTAACTATAAGGGCTGCAAGTGTGTAGTTCCCTATTTCATAAAATCGAGGAACATTAAGGTTACACTTTAACCAATTATGAATATATTTGCACGCAAGACTGCAAAGTTATTCATATTTTTTCATATTACATACCTGCCTAATTAATTTATAGTCGTGCCTTATGGTTTCCTACAATTTTTGTAATTTTAATTAACACTCTCTTGTCCCTTCAAGTTCCTGTTTCAAAAATATGCAACTTTATGATCATACCTTTGGTTTTCTTCTAATGTTTTCAACTTATTTTTTAATCAAGAAGTCGCTGTGAAAATATTCAACCCAAAAAAATCATAAAATCGCCAGGATCTGTCTTAGGAATATTGAAAATAATAGAAAAAAGTTAGATATTGTAAAGTGGTTGTGCCTTCCGCGACATTCATAGCGTAGTTGGCCTTACTGTAACACAGGAATTGTACATAGCAATTGACTGCCCATAGTAGAAACTTTTGGTGCATTCGTTATATATATAATTCAAGAGTTAAATATAGATGACAAATTTCTAACTCGCTACACCTATAGAATCCTCCTTCGCAGAATGGATCCAAACAAACCAAAAGGAGAACTGGATAAACTCTACCGGTGCTAGACATAGTATACTTATGATGAAACAACCCACACCAAGACTGGCAAAATCACTGCTGCAACTGGAGAGGGCTAAACTCAGAGGAGTGATAGGACTACTAACCGGTCACTGGTATCTGAAAAAACATCTATACAACATGGGCATATAAAACGAAGATCCCATCTGCAGATTATGTAATGAGGAGAAGGAAACAGCCACCCATATCATCTTTGAATACGAAGCAATACTCAACGGACAGTCAACATAACATACGAAAAAACTTAGGGAATGAAACTGTAGCAGCGACTCTCAATGACCTGATACTTCTAAGGAGAAGGATAAGGAACTAGGAAGGTACGATAAGCCAGAAGGCTGGAGTACCTGGGGAGTACAAGCCCTGCTTCCTAGTATCCTTATCACCATACCATACCATATCATACCATAACTCGATACACCATAGATAATTTTAGAGTTTAATTTTTACAGATAATTTATTACAATAACAGTTGATATTTATCAATCTCGAACCATTTTAAACTTTTAAATACTTAATTCAGCAATTTGTTGTTTTTTTTTGTTTAAAAACTATGTAGGTTTTTAACGCATTCCGTGTAAGTTTAAAATTAAAAATCAAAATTTATTCCCGAAAAATTAACATAAAAAATCACGTGACCTACGTGAGAAAATATTGAACTTCACAAATGTTCAACGGGTCAGTGGCAGGATGTTGATCATCCGCCTGGTTGCACACTCAAACAAAACCTTGCCAACAAAAAGCTAATTGCCAGAATCAGATGGGTGTAACCGATTATTCTTCGTTACCACAAAAAAACCACTAACTCTTGTCACCAACTGGATTTCACAACAAAGTATATATAAATTTATTGGCCTATTCCAATAAAAAGGGTGAAGTTCCAGTAGGTTTTTTGGGTTTAATAAATTAAATGTTGAAAACATGATTCTTAATAGAGACACTTAACCATTAATAAATAAGCCATTCAGTATAAAAAAAATTAATAATGTGTATAAATGTATTTTTTATTGTTGAATAACTCTGACCAACCTTCATTAATGTTTAAGTTGAACAATCTACGTTCACCCATAAAAAAAGTATTGTTATTACAAAAATTGTTCGTTTCAAACATTCCCGAAAGCCCCCAGGACATGACTAATTCAGCAACTTACTATAGAAATTGACGAAAATTTATTATGGATTTTTCGAAATCCATTCATGATGCTCTACATAGAATAACTTACTTTCCAATATTGCGGAAATACTCCACGATTAAAATGATCCCAAAACCCTACAAGCCTACCCAACATTTTACATCCTACAGTCGTGTGTTACGGTAAGCAGAATCCCTGAAAACTTCTTCCGAAAAGATTGGCATCAATAATTGAAACTGCCATATACTAGCTCACGATCATTTTTGTTTCCTCTTATTTGATAGAACCGGTATATAGCGTTGTGTACACTAAAATGTACACTCTACAGCGGAAATAGTATTGTTCGGGTTTTTCACCATGTGGAGGTAAAGCACCCAGGTTTGGCTGCTGTGGTCTGGAGGGTGATGAACCTTTGTTTTGATGCTTACCGATCATCTTGTTTTGCCTATCTTAACAGGGCCTGGCAGAGATGTTTTAGTATCGCAATCTTCAGTGTTTCTGTATGATTATGTTAAATCTTTTGTAATGACGTGGGGGAGGCGTGCGGATGTCGGCTTTATCTTTGTTTGGCGGTGCCTTTGGTGGGTAGTGTGTGCGTGTTCGCGCGCGCGTGTGGGTGTGTGTGTGTGTGTGTGCTGTTATTCTCCTTTTTGATATAATGGAAAATAATTTTTACTATGTATTAATAGTATTAATTCTTATAAATTTCTTTTAGGCTTATTGTCTTTCTTATATTTATAATTCGTGTTTTAAGCTTTTCCATGTATGTTANAAATCTTGTATTTTAATTTTTTGGATGTTTCGGGAATTTACTCTACTCCCATCATCGGCATCTGTTGTAATATGTCCTTTTCCATTTTTGATTCTTGATTATCCTGGGTTAAATCTTTTTTTCAGTTATTTTAGGTGTTACGTTTTTGTATTATAATTTTTATTATGTTACCGATTTTTTTTTTGACTTATTGTTTTTTTATACATTTATCTTTTTTTTAAACTTTTCCATGTAGTTGTTTTAATATAAACACAAAATACAAGGGAATAACCTGGATAAAGTTATTTAACCCACGATAATTAAAAATAAAAACATGGAAAAGGACATCTTACGCCAAATTCTGTTGATGGGTATGAATTCCGGAAACGGCCAAAAAATTTAATGTAAAAAAATTATCTAGAAAAACCATATTAAAGTTTAAAAAAAACACAAAGTGAAAAATAATTTTGTTTTGTGGAATGTCGCTCCAGAGTCTCACAAAAGGTATTGCTGAGAAAACATTGATCGTGATCCTTTCCAGCTGTTGGCAAGCAGCATGAGAATTTCGTGGCCGAATTGTATTGTTTAAGCATAAATTTATAAATTTTTGTGTAACTTTTAAAATAAAACCAGTAATTTTTTTCAAAATATATTTTTTTATTTTTTGGTTTTGTAGCATCAAAGGAGTGATGTTTTAGGCAAGAGGGGAGAACAACATATCTTTGCACAATGTACAGAACGTTGTCTAATCCAATGTTCCATTCATTACAGAAAAACTAGTTATCACATTTTTGGGCGAATTTTGTTTGAAAAAGTAAATTTTTTTTAAATTTTGTAAATGAGAAAATGCTTTGAGGAAACTATTCATCTATAACTAATCGACCAAGAACGAAGATTGAAGAACCCGCTTAATAAATGTTAAGTAATAGATTGAAGAACTGGCTGCGAGGGTGTGCCCGAGGCAGCGAGTGTACTATGTTATTAAGATTCTTCTGTTACGATCTTTAAACAGTTCATGATGTGTGACACGGAGCTTGGC